CCATTTACCATTTTGAGAACATTTCCTTCTTTCTTGTTTCACAATAAAAATGTGCGCAATTTCTATTTTTTTATCATTAAAAGTTCATGATCCTTAGATTGTGCACCCCATGTTACACCCAGAAAATGAAAATGATGACGTCAGTCAGTTTATTTTCAAAAATTTCTTTAGAAAAGTTTAAAAAGGAAAGTTTTAAGACTTAAAGGTAAAAACTGTTTTTAGTGTATAGCAGCTGCTAGCCATAGTGTTGTTGTTTGATTTCAGCACATGAAGAGTAGAAATTTTAAAAATTCACATTTTTCTGTGTTCTTCATATTTTCACAGCTCTATGTTGTGAACTGTTTTGAACCATGTTTCCTCCAAATTTATTCACGAAGCAGACATTCAGTTTATCAAGACAGCAGCTATCTGCACTGATGACAACCAGAAATCCTCATCTAAGCATGAATTCCCCTTAGAGTAGTTTTTTTTTTTTTTTAATTAAAGCTGCTTTATATTAAAGGTGTCTTTTTCCTGGCTGTTTTTTTTTTTTTGTTTGCTTTTTTCAGATGGAACTTTAACCAGGTACATTTTAAGAGCAGAGGGACTCAAAAAAAATCTAAAAGGAAAGGTTTTTACTGTGTCATGGTGAGCTTATAGTTCATCATCAAAAAAACTGAAGGTAAGCTTATGTATCATTTTTAAGAGCAAGATTCGCTCTCAAAAAAAAGATTCAAACATAAGTAATCTAAAACGAACCACACAAGCTTTACTTTAAAAAAAGAAATTGTGCATTTTGCTATGAATTACTCTAAAAACATTTCTCACCATCACAGAGATTTAAAGGGTTTTTTTTTTTTTAGATTGTAGGTAGAAAATCCTGAAGATCTCTGGAGCATTTTGTTCTGACAGCATTTGGATTAGAAACACACTGAGTTTTCGCTGAAAGCCATTTTGAAACAAGAGCGGGCTGAACCGCAACATTAGCTCTACTTATGCAAACTCATTGCTTCAAAAAAAGTCACATCAACCCAAGAGGGTCGAGCTACACTTATTTTGAGCTTGCTATAATTAAAGGAAGATAACATAAGCAACAACTTAAAATAACACACCAAAGTCTGACCCTTTTCTCCACTTTATACAAGCTTTGTTTTAGAAGTACTCCTGACTCAGAAAGTCAAGAATGCACAGCAAGTAAGACAGCGTTTTCTCTATTCCTGTGACACAAACACACACAGCAAATAAAATACAAAAGACAGAGGTCGGCACCTCTGTGCTGCTCAATATGAAGGCAAAAAGTACTAATGAGTCAACATAAGCAAATGCTCTCACTTAACTTAAGGAGCTTATTTGCATTTTCACACAGCAAGTTGGGCATGCCCGGGAAATCATTTCCTTATTTTTGCTTCCCTAAACCTCACAACCTCGGTTATGCTCAGAGGTTATCAGCTCTCTAAATCACTCCAGGTTGCTCTATAAATAGGTCGATCTTGGCAACCGGGACCAAACAAGTTGAGCTGCATACTTCACACATGTGCAGCAGAGTTTCTGCAGCTTTTGCAGGTTAGTTTCAAGGTTTGCATCAGTTGGGTACCTGAACTACTTTCTAGCCTTTCATAAAAAGGACCTCTGGTGGGATACACCTGTCACCCAGTTTAATTCAGTAAAGCTGCTAAACTGCATCTGAATGAAGAAGAAAGGTGATTTGAGAAACTTTGAATGTTGTATGATTATTTGTGCTGGACAGGGTGGTCTAAGTCAGCGGTCCCCAACCCCTGGGCCTCGGACCGGTCCGTGAGTCGTTTGGTACCGGGCCGTGAGAGTTGAGGATCAGGTGTGAAATGTAT